CTGAGCCGGTGAGATTTGAACAGCCGAACTGCAGAACTGCAGTCAGCTGAAGTAGCCTGCAGTGTTGCATTTAACCACTGCACCACCTCGGCTCTCAATTCTCTGACATCATATCCAATCTGCAGGTTCTTAGTTTTTCACATTTGGGAATTACACGTTACCAGAATGCATCTCTTCTTCTTCAAAGTGGATGCTGCATTTTTTGACCTATCAGAGCCTTGAGTGTCTTTCATCCTGTTCCATGAAGCTGAGGTTGGTAAGGTGGAAGCCATGCACTGGCTTCTAGAGCAGGTTGCTGAGCTACTTACTAGTGGCACTTAACTTCTGATCCTCTTGCTTCTCTGGGTGACAAGCTTTTGTTTCTTCTTGTGTTCTTTGGCATTCGTATCATTTCTTTGCTTTCCTTACTGAGTTGCTTTACCCATCATAGCAAGCAATTTTTTTCCTTCCCTCATGTCTGATGATGCAGTATATAAGTTCTTTATTCCTTCATGTACTCTTCTAATAACACAAGCTTCCACTTCCAGCAGGCACGGTTTGAGTTTTCTGTTTGAAAGACAAACCTTCATACCTTACAGATCACCACAAAGCGTTCTTCGCTGTTCCATGTTGCTTGGAGTTTCCCCATGCAAAACTAACATGCTCACTTATTTTGGTTAGATGTTTCCAGATGTTTCTCTGGAAGAGCTCTAGCTGAGGCCAAATTCTCCTCCCAGTCAAGTCTGCGGCTGTTCAGGAGTCAGTAGCTCATGGCAGTTTTTATCAAGCCCCAGCATGTCTTTAACCTTTACCTTAGACAGAAAAGCAGGCCTGCTCTTCAAAGTCTCCAACGATCATACCCAGTCAGTTGCTCAGATACAAGAGTCCATCTTCTTTTTTTCTTTGTATCTTCTCCTTTTTCCAGGCAAAATCCTCCAGTTTGATCTCTCAGACTGCAAATGCCTATTAATTAATGCGTTGACTTCCAGAAATAAGTTTCAATCCATGCCTGTCACTCTTCAGTATTTTACCTCACCAAATCTCTTTACCAGTTGTTGGTTTCAAAGGTAGGAATGATGTCGATAATTGTACTGGGAATGTCAGATGGTCCCGCTCTAAGGTTTTTTTGAACAAACCATTTTGGCAAATATTAAATCTAGTGCCACTTTCATGTGCTTTAAATTGTCCTCCTGTCATTCTTTGCCGATAAGCAGCACTATCTGAGTAAGCACGTAGACCTAATTAAGCATGTAGGCTGCCTTGCTGAAAGTTGCATTGATTCAAATGGCCCCTTTGTGTCTTCTTTGTTCTTTCAATATTGACCCTGTGAACAGATGTGTTGTCCCTGCGTCCACCTTTTCAGGGGTTGATGGCTCTGGATTCCCCATACACCGGCATTGTGAACTACAGGCAGGTGGCCCTAGCCTATGCTGAAGATTTTCAGACAGCTGGAGGTACTGTCTTGACAGAGTTTGAGGTGGAACAGATGGATATGGCAAAGGAAAGTGCTGAAGGAAGTAAAGAAGGTAAGTTACAGTGGATCATTCGTTTCTGACACCTCTACAGTTACGGTATACTCTTCCCCAATGTTCTTTGGAATTTTCCTCTCAGGATTCACTGTAATATGCAGACCTTGAACTCAACATCTCAGGGGTTTCCACAAAGCAGAAGGAGTCAAACTATTCTCCAAAGCACCTGAGGGCAGAATAAGAAGCAATGGGTGGAAACTAATCAAGGAGAGAAGCAACTTAGAATTGAGGAGAAATTTCCTGACAGTCAGAACAATTAATCAGTGGGACAGCTTGCCTCCAGAAGTTGTGAATGCCCCAACATTGGAGGTCTTTAAGAAGATGTTGGATAGCCATTTGTCTGAAACGGTACAGGGTTTCCTGCCTAGGCAGGGTGATGGACTAGAAGACCTCCAGATTCCAAGATGCCATGCCCTTTCATCTCCTAAAACTTTTCAAAAAGCAAAAGTTGGTCTCTTCCAATTTTAGAATACATTTTTTGATGTTCCATGCAAAATCCAGAGTGCCCTTTAGGCGGACACAAATTTAAACTACAACAAAGTTTACTTCATTTGACCTTAAATGTGTGTTAACCAGCCTAGTATACATGGACAACACACCAAGGTTTAAAAAACCCTGGCTTAGCATAGTCCATACACACAGATGGCATTTTCTATGCATTTAAAGATTGTGCAGGTTGAAATTGCCTTCAGCACTTAGGTTGCTTTGAATAAGTGGTATGGTTCAGATGATTATGTTATAGGATACCTTTTCAGAACTTCTTAAAAAATTGCTGTAAATTTGATAGTTACTAAATTTTACTTTAGAACTCATTCATATCCAAAAGACAGAGGGGTTATACCTAGTAAAAAGGACAATTGAACAACTTTTTTCCTTGCAATTTAATAAAGAATAACAAATATATGTTAGAAGCCATTACAATTGGTCTGCTACTTGGTTTGAAATCTATACTTTAAATCCTTTTATTAAAAGAAAATTTAGCAAGAAAAAGTTGTTTTATGTTTCATCAATCCCAGAATTCAGAAGAAAATATCTTCTGATCACTTTTGCCAAAGGATACCTAGTAATATAGATATTGTTTGAGTAAACAGAAAGGCAGAAAGGGAGATAGAACAAGGGGACAGCAAAATGCAATTCAAAAGGTATTGTGCCAAGCAAACTACATGGATTGTGTCCATAAGTCATCTGGATTCAAGTTTGATTCAAAGGAGAGTTGATATTTTATGTTGCTAGAGTTCCTATTTTTGGATTATTAGGAGTTCTTTAGTCAGATCTTTTTTTTCAACATATTGCATGCTGTTTAAAATGGTTTAGTGTACTTCAAAATACACTCAATGTTTTATGAGAGGGCTTGAATGGAATTCAAACTAAACAAAGGCCGAGAAAAGAAACACATTTTTTAATGGACATAAAACATACTTAAGAATATATATTAGAAAGAAGTCAGGGTTTTTCCTCTTATGCTAGCATCTTAATTAAGATGCTTCTACAAGAAAAAGAAAATGGCTGCAGATTAGCCCACTTTCTCTTCAGAAACTACCATTTGGGTTTTAGTTTTGCACAAGGGATAAAACAATTGCTTCATAACCCATTTAAATTCTTTTCATATTATTTGTAGGGATGAAATATCCAATTATTGTTAGAAATTCAAAGGTAAGATAACATTCAATTCAAATTTTAAAATACATACATTTGACCTTCTGGTATTTTTACTTACTAAGCATATTTTTTACATTAATTGATGATTTAGTAGGTTAATCCTTTAGTTACTTTTATATTACACTCAGTTTAGAATGCTGGTTTGTATATTCGTTTAATTCACAGAGTTTTTGCAGCAATAAAATAGGAAGATGTAGAAAATTAAGGTAAAAATGACATCGGAGTGCATATACATAATTTATTAATAATTTATTAATAAACACCATCAGCATCTGCTTTTTATAATAAAATAAATACTTTCCAAAGTCTTTAAACATATCTATGTTTATGTTATTTTTCAGCCATCTATGCTTTCATATGCAATCATCTTCCAAGTTCATCTTTAAGGAAATCTGAGAACTAAATTAATATACAAAACAGTATTCAAGGTTGATGGAAAAGAAGAGTGTAATCTTCAGTTTACTTAAAGCATAAATTTATACTAAAAATCAGTTGATGGAGGCTTTCCTTAGCCCTCTATATAGAAAAGCAAACATAATTCTTAATATCTGAAAATATTTAATAAAGATAATAACCATATTACAAAGCATTACAAAGGCACAGTTCTAGTAGTTTTTACAAAAATATAAAATTTTAACTCTGCTTGTTTACTAATTGTTTAAAGCAGGGGTGTCAAACTCAAGGCCCCGGAGACCAGATCTGGCCCATGGGGGGGCTTACATCTGGCCTGCAGGGCAATCCTGGAAACAGTGATGGACTGGCCTACAGTGCCTCTGCCAGCAAAAACTGAGCTTCATTTTTGCTGACAGAGGGTTGCAGGAGGCTGTTGCAGCTGAAAACTGAGCTTGGGAGCCCATTTTTGCTGGCAGAATGCTCAGGCCACCACAGGTGCCTCTGACACAAATAACTACGAGCTGGCCATGCCCATCCCAGCCCCCCACCCCACCCCGAGGTCAAACACAGCCCTGATGCGGCCCTCAGTGAAATCAAGTTTGACACCCCTAGCTTAAAGCTTCTCATTCCCTGAGAAACTCTGACTTCATATGCAAGTAACCCTGTCATGTGCAGTCGCTGGACATCTGGCCTTTTCCATTGGCTAAGGTATCACTTGTTTGGCTAGACTAGCTTTCTCCAAAAGTTATCTCTCTTCCCAAAAGACCTATTTTTGATTTGAGCTTCTATTTCAGAGCAAAAAGTAATCCCTTCCTGTCCTGGTCTTAGGACAGGCCAGTTCAGACATGAGGAGCAGCATTGGAGGAAATGGAACATAGAGGAAATATCTTTGGGGATTATTTACTTTTGGGATTGTGTAAGGTATATTATAGCTGAAGTAAATTTGTGCTGCTTTTGTCACAGGGGAAGGAGGTCCGATGCCGACATCTTGTGTCCTGCGCAGGACTTTACTCGGACAGACTCTCCCAAATCTCTGGTTGTGACCCAGAGCCCCGCATTGTGCCTTTCCGTGGAGATTATTTGGTGCTGAAGCCAGAGAAGTGCTATTTAGTTAGAGGAAACATTTATCCGGTATATAATTTCTCAGTACTTTCACTTATTGGTTGGAAGGAAGTAAAACCCGGGGGGGTGGTGGTGTTTAGGCACTATTGGTGTTGCAAAAAGTTCTTTAAACTTTAATAGCCTTCATAGAAAGTATCTCAATTCCCTGTCCAGATCACTGCCACATATTTCCCTTTACTCTGCCTTTCTTTTAAAAATTCCTTTTTTTAAATTTTGTTATGTGTAATTGAAATGGGCCATTTAGGCTTTGATTCATGCAGGAATCCAAATTAAAGCATCTCTGGTAAGTCGCCATCTCACTTCTGCTCAAAAATATCCAATGAAAAAGGGCCTCTCTCTCTTTGGAAAATTGACTCCCTTTATTCTCCATCTCTCTCTACAATTAAATGGGAACTCTTTTGTTTAACTGTTTTATAGTTTGCACATAGAGCGATACAGACATTCAGTACTTTCCTACCTCAAATGAATTTTGATTTGGGACATGTGTTTTGGTATGACAGGTACCTGATCCCCGTTTCCCCTTTCTGGGCATTCATTTTACCCCACGGATGGATGGTAGTGTCTGGCTTGGACCGAATGCAGTCCTTGCATTTAAACGAGAGGGCTACAAATTTTATGATTTCAGTATTCAAGATTTTATAGATGCAGCTGCTTACAGGTAATCTTTTCCAGATAGTATGCCCTCCCTCATTTTTCTGTTACTTGAGTATTATTTGGGAGCATTGCAAGAAGCCTTCAGTTGCTTGCAGGGGGAGCTGTAGGAGAGGACTGAGAGTGTGGTTCAGTTCAGGTTGTAAGTAATATTGTGTTTAGGAATGTTGGGAGAAAAAGCAAATACAAATATTCATCTTTTAAAAACCAATAGTTCAATAGAATCATTTCTATCATCTGAAGAAACAAGAAAATGACAAGATTGCTTATTTAACAAAAATATGTTTTACTAGATTTAAAAAATGAACTAAAATCATATTTTTATTCAAAGCAATTTGAAAAACAACCAATTTTACAGCATCTCCAGAATGTAAAAATGTACTGTGGCATAAACATTTAATCAGCACTTAATCAGATATGTAAAGTGAAAATCAGCAGAATAATTAAAGGCTTAAATCAAAATGACAGCTATTAATCCCAGTGCAGTATTTCTTAGCTACAGCACTAAAAAGACTTGGTTACGACTGATTTAATCTTTCAATATAATTGCGATGCAATTATTTGTTTGTACTTTTAGTTGTTTGCATCTAATCTATGAACACACGGAGATACACATTTATTTACTATATTTCTATATTGATGTTTTCTAAGGTCTGAGAGTTTATAGAATTATGGATGATGAGAGAATTTTACCTTCTTAGCCAGCCAGATCCTAATAAACTGCTTTTTTTTTCTCCCAGTGGTTTATGGAAACTAGCGTTGAAGAATTTTTCATATGGGATGGGTGAAATGTACAGAGCATGTTTTCTCAATGCCCAATTGAAGCAGCTGCAAAGAATCATCCCTGAAGTTACCATCAATGATATTCAGAGGTAAAACAAATGTAAAATTCTCTCATATCAAGAATGGGTTTCCCCCCCCCTCCCACCACCTTGGTTAAATATGTTAAAGAATTTTGAAGAAGCAGC